CACACATTCAACGCCAAAATAATCAAAATTTGCATAACTCATGCAATTTTAAATTTGTATTTTAAGTGATACCTCTAAAATTCATTTAATGATAATTCAAATTTAATAACTTTTTTCTCACACCATCAAGTTTTCATTTGGGATCATCTAGATTTCAACATGACTTATGATGGAGTTACACCAAAAAATTAAATATGTGTATTCTTTTTTTAATGTGTCATTTCATATCCTTTTTATTATATATTTTATCATAATATAATTAATCCAGATATTCGATAATATATGAAATATTGTGTTATTTGAGATAATAAATTCATACCGATAAAAAAAATAAAAATAAAAATCACTTGATTCCTATATATTTAAGTTACAATACTACTATGATATTTCTCTTATTATTCATTAAATTATTTTCTCTCATTTAGTTTAAACCATTATAAATTTTCTTTTCTCAATATTTAAAAATAAATTACGAAAATTCGGTTACCTTTTAAATTCAGATAGAAATAATAATATTAAGATATTAGAGTTGGTTCTCATAGAATAATATGCTAAATAGATTTTGTAAGAAGTCATGAAATAATATAATCAAATCACATAATTTAAATATTCAGTGTCAATTTTATCAAAGTTACCTTAAAAAAATAGAAAAGAAAATAAATAATACTTTTCAAGCAAAAAAAATTGAAATAAAAAAATAATGTTATTTATAATAAAGAAAAAAATATTTATAATATGGAATTCAATGTTAAGTGATAACAAAATAAACACAAAATAAACTATTTACTCATAAGATATTGTAAATATTTAATAAACTTTACATTCTAACATAATTTTAAATAAATTATAAATAAACTATTACGACAGTGTTACGATTTGTTGTACAGAAATAACAGTAAGTAACTCAAATATGAAAATCCAGGTGGTATACAAAACGCACAGGGCGCACTTTTGTGGAAAAGGTGTAACTTGGACTAACGTGTTTGCTCTGTCGTCCTCGTCGCACGTGTTCACTGACATTTCATTATTACCCTCATCTGTCGCCTATATTTATTTATTTTTTATTTTTTAAAACTTAAATATTGTATTTTTTATTCTATACAAATATCTAAATTAACAACTAATAAGATAAAAGTTAGGCAATTTATAGAATAGTTTATTATTTATTACAAAAATAAAGGATTAAATTTTTAAATTATAAATTTTGTGTGGAAAATTGAAAGTACTAAGTAAAGTGTTTCTAAAAACTGTCAAAATAATTTTAAAAGTAATTTTGAAACATATTTTTATTTAATTATATTTTTAAAATGAATTTAGAAATATAAAATATAAATTTTTATTAAAATTGATAAAAGTAATTATTTTATATAATACACGTTCATTAAAAATATAATTTTTCATATCTCTACCATTCCAGAAAAAGTAATTATCAAAAATATAATCTCATATAAATTATAATATAAAATATGACATAAAATAGTTTAATTAAATTAATTTTTTTATTAATTAAATAAAAGTAGAAGGATTAGATTATTCTAATAATTAAATATTTTTTTTATTTTTTATTATGAAAAATAAGTGAAATTTTTTATTCTAATAGAGAAAATAGTTTAATTAGAGAAAGAAATGATATTTTAAGTTTAATGATTTTTTTGTTGTATATTCTTTTAAAGTTAATCATTAATATTAATAAATAAACAAATAATTTTTATAAGTAATTTTTATTTTTCATATTCATTTCTCTCTTTTAAAAATAAAAAATAAAAAATAAAAAATAAAAGAGTCTTACATATGAGATATAAAAAAAAAAACATGTACGTAATTTAACTAAAGTGACAATTTTTTTTTTATTAATGAGAAAAACTGTTAAAGTGGTAAATGAAGAGTATAATATCATAATATATGTTATTTCCTTTTCACATCAAAATCGAATTAAATATGTGACATAATTGGAATGGTGGGTAAGATTTACCATAAATGATAGAGCATTTTTAAAGACTAAGTAATATCTTCTAACAAAAATAAAGACAAACACAATCTTCTACATAGTTCCGCTGTAAATTGATTACAATTACTATAAATGTTTCTTTTTCAAATGTTTAATATAGTATTTTGAATTTAAATTTAAGATAAATTAATATTATTAGAAAATATATATATAAGTTTAAGGATAAATATTTGTTGTTTCCTGTATTTTTCACAATTTTGTTTTTTATTTTTATATTTTGAAATTGTCAATTTAGTCTTCAATTTTTTTTAAATATATGTTTTTTTTATATGTAAAGTTAAAACTTATCTTTACTTTTTACACATCTGATAAAATAATTATGAATTTAATCATTTTGATATTTAAATTTAATATTTAAGTTTGAGAATTATTTTGTTATCTTTTAAATTATAGAAAAAATATTTTTTTATAAAATATATAAGAATCAAAAACATCTTTAACTCTAAATTTTAATCTTAAAAAAATGTAAGATTACATCTCATTAATCTTACAAAAATTAATATATAAGATTACAAGTCATTTATTATTTTTCTAATTTTGTTATAGATTTATAAAGGAATTCTACTACTATTTCTCGTATCAAACATAAACATTTTAAAAATATAAAACTAAATATTTATGATGTGATTTTAAACTGATAATTTGAACCTTTAAGAAATAAAGTTTTTATTTTGAGGGAACGTTGAGAAAATTATCTTCGTAAACATTTGACTTTTAGATTATTTTACATTTTTAGAGGAGAATAAAAATTTTGTTTGTGATGATGATACTTTTTGTTAGCTTAATGATTTACCTTATTATATTCAAGGTTTTTCTAAAAATAGATTCAATTGGATGGATCATTATATTTGTTACTTTTTTTCTTTTATTTTATTTAAATGGAATTTTGATTTATGAGATATAATATGCGAACATAATTAAGTTTTTATATTTCTTCATATCAACTACCTTAAAAAAATTAATATAAATTTTTAATATAGGTTTTGAAATTATATTTATTTTCATAAGAACGAGAATTTCTTAAATGATTGAGTTTTATGTTTCAATTAATAAGTTTTTTACATTTTCTGATACTTGATCTATTTTTGTTTACATGTTCAAGTGTATATAAAGAACACTTTGACATTCAAGTCACTCAAGATATAAATATATAAAATATTTGTAATTAACGAATAATAATAAAAGATTTAATTACATAGCTACATGTAATTTTACTTTTTATATATATATATACACAAGTTTTTATAATTATAATAGTATGAGTATAATATAATACTAAAATATAAATATAAATTTAGTAACTTAATTTTATAAAATTAGTTGCAAAATAAGTTTTGTTTCTTAATTATGATATTATTATAATCTAATAATAAAGTAAACTTAAAAAAGAATATAATATTTAATTAGTTATAACATTATCCATGATGATGAAGCCGCTAGGGTACGCAATTGGTAGTATTTTAATTTGAATGGAAGAGGCAATTTGCAATTTTCTGCAACATCCAATAAAAAGTAACTTCGCACATTTAAGAGGAAGCTAACTACCACCTTCTAAATAATAATCCGTATTCTGGACCGTACGATTAAATCTCATATCCTTTAAATCACCGTCAACACAAGTGCCAATAAATGCTTTTTGAGTACCCACTAAGAAAGGAAAAGATCTTAGAAAAAATTAAAAGAGATTATTAAAAAATATATACAATCTTTTCTTACGAATTGTTATTTTTTTAATATTTTAAATCAATATTCTTAGGATACTGATTAATGGAGAGCTGAATACAGATGTATAAGTAACAATTCATATAATAATTAATATAATTTAAATCTTATAATTATCTTTCTTTATTGTTATAAAACGTAATAAATAATAAAAAACAAAGACAATAAAAATTGTATTCGCATAATTTTTTACAGAAATAATTAAATGTTAATTCATTTTATAAATATCAATAAAAAATAATGACTAATAAGATCATAAATATTAAATATTTAATTAAATTTAGAGAGATTTTAATTTTAGTATCTAAATTAAAAAAATTAGTCTTTCAAAATAAATATAAATTATTCTTAAATAATAAAATTTAAAGAACTAAAATATTTTTTTAACACATCCTTCAAATTTAATTTTTAAAAATTAAAATTACATTTCACTAAATGTAAGGTATTAAGATAAATTTAAAATATTTGTAATTTCACACTTTTAAAAAGTTTAAAATAAATAAATATAAAGCTTTAAATCAAACATTGATTTTTTTAATTAATTTATAGTAAGAATAATACTATATTGGTAACAAATCTTAAATTCATAAATTATGACATTTTTAATAATGGATGTTAAAATCGAAATAATTAAAATATAAAGTATCGAATTTTTTTGGTTAAAAAATTTTAGAATTGATCGATTCATTTTTATGCGATAATAAAAAATAAATTAATCCAAATTATAAAAATAAAATAATATTTATTATGAGAGTAAGATATTTTTTTTATAATTTAAGAGATATATTATTATTATTATTATTATTATTATTTTATTTTTAGTAATTATTTTATTGTAATAGATTTAATAATTCGAGAAAAAATTTTTAAAATCGTCCTAAGCAACATGTAAGTACTGTTTTTAAAAAATTAAAACCAAAACGGATTTAAATTTTATATTTACTTCTAATATTATTTTTTAGTATAAAATTATACTCTCTGTCCATCATCAATGCTGACACACATGTGTCTTTCACGTAAAACTCTCTGCCATTGTTCACACACAATAATAAATTTTGCTGCAAATGAAGGTGGTGATGGTCATGGCAACCCCTTCTTCTATAAATGTCCCCTCATTGGTCCCTTTCTCTCACCACCCTCTTCTCGTCCTTCTCTCTCTCTCAGACCTTCTTCTTCTTCTTCTTCTTCTTCTTCTTCTTCTTCTCTTTGGTGCTGCCACAACAGTTGAAGGGTTTCTTATTTTTCTGTGTAACTGTGTATGCTTCCAACAATGGCTGTGGCTGCAAAGTTGCTTTCTGCTTTGATCATTGCCCTCATTGCCATTTCCATGCTTCAAACGATGGTTGGTCTTTTAACTTCAAACACATACATTTTGTTGAGATTCTGTCTCATATTTTTCTTGGTTTGGTTTTGAAGGTTGTGGCATCTCATGGACATGGAGGCCACCACTACAATGACAAGGTATATGTAACATGTTTTCTTGTTTCTATTTTTCTTTTCTCTTTTTGTGTGAGTTTTGATTTGGATCTTTGCATTGAGAAGGGTGAATGATGATGCTGTTTTGCTAAATGCATAATTATTGTGTGTTTATCAGACAAAATTTGGACCTGGCAGTGTCAAGAGCTACCGTAAGTCAAGTTCTTTCTACCATTCTTGATATTGTTCTTCATTTTCTTCTCCTTTTCAAAACAACTTGGATTCAACATTGAACAAAAAAAATGGAGAGAAAGATGCATTTCCAATATAAAAGTTATTAAATCCTCAACCAATTAGTTATTTTTATATAATTATAGTAAAAAATTTGTAAACAGCAAATCTATATGTTGAAAAAATTTACTTTCAGATGTTAAAATTCATTGAAATTTATTAATTCATGAATGAGTTTTTCAAAAGGAAAAGTGAGATCTACCTTATTTCTTGACTTAGATCTCCATATATTTTAAGATTTATATGCTAATTTTAATTATCTCTCATTTTGACTATAAAAACTTATTTACTGTAAATGCTGCTATTGAATTGAACTTGCAGTTTTATCTTAAAAATATATGTTTTATTAATTATATATTTTCAAGATGAAACTTCAAATTTAATGGGAGAGCAATTTAATATGAAAGTTTTAACTATTTAAGTATGTAAGTTAAATGGTGACATAAGTTAGCATTAAATAGTGATTAATTTAATTACACACATTAACTATGCTTAATAACTTAAGCATTAAAATTAGTTATTAAATCAAAACTAAACCTTATCTTAACACCAGCTTCTATTCTAGTATTTCAAAACTTGATCTTTTACTTTGACTATGGTCAAATATTTTGCTGTGAAAAGTGCATCTACCCATCTTTTTTATCTGAGCCTTTGACTTTAACTTTGTTGAATTAATGTTCTCTTATACCAACAAAAATTGACCCAATCGGTGAGAAACGAATTCATATTTCACAAAACCTAAATTCAATTTAGTCACTATAAGAACTTGTTGGTAGATGAAAAAAAAATGTTTATTTCAAAGATAAGTTTAAATCAACTTACCTCATAACTTTTTATTTTAGTAGTTTATTCAATTCACTTAAACTTTTTTGATAAAAAGTATTTTTTTTCTTTTTGGGGTGTGTGATATGACCAGAATGCCCATCACAATGCACAAGGAGGTGTAGCAGGACCCAGTACCACAAGCCCTGCATGTTTTTCTGTCAAAAGTGTTGTAGGAAGTGCCTGTGTGTGCCCCCAGGGTATTATGGTAATAAAGCAGTGTGCCCTTGCTACAACAACTGGAAGACCAAGAGAGGAGGCCCCAAATGCCCTTAACTTCTTCTTCCATCAAATTAACAAAGTTATATATAGCTTTAGTTTCCATACAGTATAATTTCCTAGCTCCCATATATGTGTCTTAGTTATTCAAAGACTAAAATCTTAATGTCATTTTATGTGTGTTTTTAGAAGAGTTTCACTTCAGTAATCTACATCAACATATGAGATTTGTCTTTAACCAAATACATGTTCATTTTGGTCTCAGAGATACTTTGTTGTATTGAAGATGCCTTTTTGCTTTTTTTTTTTTTGGTCTCAGTGATGTGTGGGGCTCCTCCAAATACCACTTGTCATAGCCATTTTTTATTTTAATAAATGAAGTGTGCCTAATACTGCTGCTGTCATCTTCTGAACTTCTCATGCTAAGTTTAACAAGCTATAGGCATGAAAGTTGAACGTAAAATTCAATTTTAACTTGAGAACAGAGAATCAGCCAATCTGATGCTTATCACGTTATTAAAGAATTTGGAATTCCTTATCTCATTAATTAATCTCAAAACATATCATGGCATCCTTGGACAATTCTTATCAAGAAAATATAAGATTAGAGGGAGGCATAGAGAAAACACAGATCAATTCATGTGCCCCAATTCAAGAGTGAATTAGCATTCAACTATACAAAAGTTTACTAATACCGAGTAGAATGATGCAAACAGCTGATGAAGTTCTGTGATAAAAACTAAGCAGCACATTTACAAAATTTAACTGGCTTAAATTTTTCTCCTTCCTGGTCAATTATTTATCACAATTCCATCATCCTTATCACCTAGAAGAAAAAAGTAAAACATGCAAAAGTGAAAAAGTTTGAACTGGTGATGTATTGACTGAAATATTTACAACTTTTTCCTAGAACTATTGGAACTTCAATTAACACTGTATTCTTGTAGTCTACAGCAATCATCTTGTTGACATAATAAGAGATCTTCAACTCCATAATAAATCCATTCCAGAGTAGAATTACCCTTAAGCATAATCACTACCTAGGGACAAGATTCTTTAATCACATCACTAGTTTACACAAAAACTCAAGTTTGTCATAATTGAAATCCTGAATCTCAGAACACTTCTTTTTTTCACAGATATACCTCTTTCAAAGCATTCTTGATCAAGAGACACCATATATGTAGACACTTTTCCAATAATGATTGAAACTTTGATTTGTCACGGTGTAAGAGTTTAGTCCCCTCTAAATCAACATATTTTGAGAATCTCAAAACACTTCCATCTAAAACAGGTTTGAAAAAACAGTTAAGTATCTTCATCATTTAACATTACTAATACCCATTTTCTTGTTTCTTCAAACAATATCACAACTTACTGGAATTAGTATTATGCTTGATATGCTATTTCAAATTGGGATATATCAAGCTTTGTGATAGTATTTTCTTATTACTAACTCACAATCTAATAGCATTCAGTTTCTCTGACATAGGTAAATTTGTTTTTTTCTCACTACTGAAACAACAAATCAACCCTGCACCCCTATTGAGCACTCTAGCCCTAATACTTATTTTTCTTCTTTTTTCCATTTATATATAGATCAAAATAATAAGGGCAATTAAAATCAGTCCCTGTGATACAAGATAATTTACCTTTGACACTAACAGTTGCCCCTTATTTGCTTTTACTCCATTGAATATGAATCCAAGTTCATATTATCATACAGTAACTGTAATGCTTGAGTAGGAAAAAATGAAAATAGCTACATGAACCCAAATCACAAGTCCATAAAATAAAACTATACACTGTTGTTGTTGTTGCATATTTTGTGTCTATGAAACTTCCATGTCCAAAAAGCTATGTTTTTTTAGCAGTTGTCGTTTATGTGATTCCAGACTATTTGGATAATCTTCTAATTTTCTCTTGCCATAAGGATCAGAAAACCTAGTATCCTCCATGCTACTTTCTTGTTTGAAGACATGGATTCTACTTTCTTTAAGGATTGATGTATCTTCCAAACCAACATATGTAACCTCTGCATGGTTCCATTCATTTTCTAAAGGCACTCCGTATAAGTTATCTTCAAATTCTATCGTTTGAAGATCAAAAATATATGTATGATCCCTTCCCATCATGAAATAGCCACTACCAAGGAAACATTTATTGCCATTGATGATCACCCTAGGCCTAAACATTCCAGAATCATTATGCATAGGTCCAATAACAAGACAAAGAACCTTGCCTGGGAACTTATTACGAAACCAGAAAGAAATTGAAGGTCCCTTGCTTGGGTGATCAAACCATTCTGGAACCCTTTCTCCTGGTAAATAAAACTGAGTTTTTCCAGCCTCATGTAGTTCCTGTTAATTACAAAGAACTCATAAGTTTTCCAACATTAAGTGCACTATATCTTATTAAATCAAGTACATTAGAAACAAGACAAAAACCTGATTTAGGAACATGCTTGTACTTGAGGAAGTCAAGGATTTACAATTTGTTGCTAAGAAATGTTTCATGTTTGGTGGAATCCCTCTAATTTCCTTAAGAAGGTCGCAATCATTCACCTTAAGCTTCCTTAGAAATTGAAACTCTTTGATGCATTCTGGAAGGATTGTGAAATTATTCTTTGATAGGTCTATGTCTTTCACATGAGCAAAGCGCATGAAACCGATTGAGAAGAAATCATCACACAGGTTGCATTCTGAGGCCCAAAGCGATTCTACATTTGAAGATACAATTGATGATTCCTCTTTTTCTTCATCCTCTTCCTGCTTTAGCCATCGCCACCCTTTCCATTTCCAACCAATAAGATCAGTCAGTTCTGGCATTATCACAATGCTACTTGGTAACTGAACAACTCCACAGTTAGACAGTTGTAACTCTTGAAGCCGAGTAAGATTTTGAAAAGAAGATGGCAATTCCGTTATGGCAGTGTACTCCAACTGAAGTTCCCTTATGTTTTCCATCTTTCCTAGTATTTCTGGAAAACTCTCGAGACTATAACAACGTGAGAGGTTGAGCCTTTCAAGAGAGCTCAACCTGATGGGTGGAAAGCTCACAAGCTTGGTGCAACCAAAAGCACTTAATATTTTAAGTTTACATAAAAATCCAATGGAATTGTGAATTGTAGTTAAATTCTGACAATGTTGAAATGAAAGTTTTTCTAAATTTGGGAGACCAGATACATCAGGTATCTGTGTTAAACATTTACTCTTGTCCAAATTTAAAAATCTCATACTCATGAACTTCTGCAAAACAAGAGAAGAGAATCAGATGAACAATCTTAATATAAGTTCATGAATTCACATGATGAGAAAAGTGAACTCGTTAAACTTGCCTTCAATAACCCAACCAACTCAAATGATGTAAAGCAACTCTGAGGTAACTTGCACATGGCAAGTTTCTTTGAATGAAAATCGGATGGTAAATCATGTGAAGGATATCTCCACCATTCTAGTACTCTTAGACTGTTTGGAAGATATTTGGGACCTTTAGAAAAATTACCATTTTTAATAATTAGTGTTTTGAGGTTCCTCATCTTCTTGAAGGCCTTGCTGCTCCATTCTACTATTTCTTCTGCGTCCAGCAAGGGGAAATCCAGACGTATGATTTCAATTTCACTAGTTCCCTGTTAAAGCAAAATGCACATATCAACCACAAAGAATATAATCAAAACACATTGACAATGTAATGTAAATATGATAAAGTTTGTAGACTTTAATAATAATTACATATAAAATGATATTTTTTATTGGTTTAGAGTGAAAAACATTTTCATTCGTATATATGCAAAACATCAATGCATACATTCAGAGAAACTTGCATAGTATAAAGGAAAAACAAACAACTATGACATGAGCATATAATTATCAGAATAGATAAATAACGATCGTAATCCAAAACAATCATGAGTCTCACTCACAGTGTTGTCTTCTAAAACTTGAATTATATCCTCATGGAACCATAATCTGCTACGTTTCCCTGGCTCTTTCGGTGACTCCTTTCGTACAATTTCTTTACCCATGTCCTGTACCAAGTCATGCATTGTCACCATCATACCGTGCAGACTAAGCTTTAAGAGAGATTTATCAACCAACACTCCAATATGATATCTCATGCAATCACCATAATGAGCATGAAGTATATCTTGGACCTCTTCCAATTCATATCCTTTGAAACAACAAGCAATGTCAAGAAAAACACTCTTCTCTTCTTCCTCCAAAGCATCAAAGCTTACTTGAAGTATCTTTAGGATTTGGTTATTAGGAATTCTTTCATATTGTTTGATAGCAGATTTCCATTCTTCTATACTTTTTCCAAACAAGTTGGAACCTATTACTTCCAAAGCCAATGGAAGGCCAGAAGCATAAGCTATCACATGATTCATTACGTCTTCATAACTTGGATCAAATTCTTCTGTTCTAAAAGCTTTCCATGTAAGCAATTGAAAAGCATCATTCTTGTTCAATTCCTGCACCTCATATGTTCTTTTAACTTCATGAGATGCTAGCAGCTGTTCATCTCGAGTCGTTATGATGATTCTGCTGCCGGAACCAAACCAATTAGATCTTCCAACAATAGCCTGCAATTGCTCTTGCTTGTCAACATCATCCACTATCAAGAGAACCTTCCTTCCTTGAAGCCTATGTTGTATCATTGAAATTCCTTGTTGCACATTTGCCATGTTTATTCTCTTTTCTTTAACCATCTCAGATAGAAGAATGCTTTGGAGATGTTGTAACCCATGTTTTTCTGAGTTTTCTCTCACGTTTTCAAGAAAACACAAACCATCAAAATGGTTAGCAACCAAATTAGAAATTGCTAGAGCAAGTGTTGTTTTTCCTATTCCACCAATTCCATGGATCCCGATCATGTGGACACCATCATCATCAGTTCCAACATCCAAAAGCTTCATTACTTCTAGAATTTGTGATTCTAGTCCTACGGGGTAATCCGCAACATGTAAAGGAGCACGATTAATCTTGTTTGAGACCAACTTAACAATCCTCCCAATAAACTCATATTCGTATTCATATCTGTTTCAAACAAAAAGGTTTTAAGGAAGTTAGATTAGGAAACAGTTTATGCACTATAATACCAGAGTTTTTCACTATCATTCAATCCCAAACAATTAAACAGTAAATTTGTTGACTTCTATAATAACTCCAGTATAAACCATGCAAAGATGATTTCTGACACGTTCATATTACCAATTTTCTTACACTGACCATACATATAAATTAAACTCAAATTAAAAGTCTCATATCCGTGTCTTGATACAAATGATTTCAAGGATAACAAACAATGATTTTCTGTTAAAATTAAGACTAAACATTAGACAAGTGAAACTTAATCAAACAAAAATTATGAGTTAAATGATTGGTAAGATGGGGTACCCATGTTTGAAATGATAGCCAGACAAGTTAGCTACTTGATGCAAAGCCATCTTCCATTTCTCTAACCTCTCCATGTTAGGGTTGAAATTCTCCTTCTTAGCTTTGAATCTTTCCTCATGTCTTGTCAATGCTTCTCCATAACTACCTTTGTGGTGTCTCACATCAGAAGGATCTAAGTCATAAAAAACAGGCAAAACCAACAAACCTTTCTTCTTGACACAGTCAACGATATTAACAAGTTCATCTAAACAAAACGATGAGGAAGCATAGTTGTGAGAGAGCACAGTGATGGCAATTCTGGACTCTTCAATTGCCTTCATAAGTGTAGGAGTTATTTCCTCTCCTCTCTGAAGCTTCTCATCATCAATGAAAGTGTGAATTCCCTTGTCATGAAGTGCTTTATAGAGATTGCCAACAAAACCATGGCGTGTATCTGAGCCTCTAAAGCTGAGGAACACATCATAGGAGAATGCATAGGAACATGATATTGCAGCCATGATAAACAAACGTGGTAAGATTAAAAGAGGGTGTTTGTGTCTCTGGAATCAAACTATGAAGTGAATAAATGTGAAAATAGAGACTAAAACAGTGTCATAGACAAGTGGTACCAAACATCAATTATTCCTCTCTTTCTACTGTTCTTAAATTGTGGTCGACAAACAATCATCTCCATGCTTTCACATTATATAAGCATTTTAGATTTTTTTTAATTCTTATTGCTTCAAAAATATCATTTCATTTCATATAATAACATGTGAGGCTTTTTCTTTTTACAAAGCATAACATTTTTTTTTCAATATTCAAATTTTTATAATGTCACTTAAAAAAAAAATAATAATAATAATAATAATAAGAAGAAGAAGAATATATATCAATATCATCCTTTAAAAACCATTAATACTTTTTTTAAGGACATAAAAGACATTGAAATTTTTATATTGTATTTAAAACTAACACTAATCTATTTTACTGTATTAAAAGTCAAATTTCACACTAATTATTACGTCTCTTCCCTTCCTTAGCATGATTTTGGATTAAAGAATTAAGTTGAGATAGTGAAAATGAGTGGATTTAAAGAGATAAAGAAATAAAATTGAGATTATTTGGATTAAGGAAAAAATTGGTTAGAAATGAGATGAAAGTTTGTCTGAAATTGATTTCACAACTTAAAAAATTAATATTTAATTGATAAAATGAATAGATTACCATTTTGCTCTTGACTTAAAAAATTATTTAAAAATAAAATATAAATAAAATAAATAATGTTAAAATTAGATATAATACATTATTTAAATATATTATTATTTAATTATATCAATTTATTATAAATCAAATATGTGACTTGGGAATTAATTTGAAAAAAATGACTTAATTTTTAATTGAAATAAATTTATAATTTAAATTAATAATTTTTTAAATTATTTACAAAGTTAATTTAAATTTAAGTATATGATTAAGGATGAAAGTTGATAAAATAAATTGTATAATAAATTATAAAATTATAGAAAAAAATGTACAACAAAAAAATATAAAGTCAATAGAAGCAAATATTCAAAGGGCAATGTTAGAATGTCAAGCTCATACATAATAATGAACATGAATATAAAAGTATACAAATTAAGACATCAATTCTATTGAAATGAGTCTTGAAAGTCGTCAAATTGATCATCCAAACAGTTAATTCTATCATGAACCCAGTCGAAACGTCTACTAACATTTAGGGTTGGATTAGCAAAACCATCTTCTCGCTTCATTCATACTTGCATGTCCTGAATCCCCTCAAATTTGTGATTATAGTTGACTATTATGGGGACTGAATGCGGTTAAACTGATTCATGGTGGATAGGGTTTTCTTGTCCAATATCTACTGCATCATCTTTAGGTATCGTAGGGTCTTCATCATCATCATTTTCATCTTCCTGGTTGACCCTTCCTTGTTGCCACATGCTATTGATACAAATAACATTTTAATTTGTTCAACATTCTTTTACTAAAGTAATGAGTCCAACCTAAGACGATGGAGGAATCTAAAGTCAAATCCATGCTATAGTGTACCATTATGTGTGATGAATATGACGTATGGAAGATGCATGCTATTGTTCATGCATTTCAACATATGTTGCATAAATGATGTAATCAATTAATTGGAATATTACTTTTCAATGCCCACAACATAAAGATATCCTCTTGTGTCAATTTCACAAAATTTGTTGCCCGAATAGTCAATATATGAATATGGACATAATGCGAAAATTTGTCATTGATTTGCAAACTTCCTGCATTTCTGACATTTCGACCTTGGACTTGTGATCTTAGTATTGAGTTCAATGTCATTTCTTGGTCGTACTTCATGTCTTCTGAGATATCAAGAAATGACATCTTCTTCCCTTCATATTTAAGACCAGTCATAATTAACTAATCAGCAGGTGTTATTTTAATGTTTATCCTATTTACCTTACTGTACGGATTCCCCCGTTTTGTGATTTTTAGGTTCGTGTAAAAGACTTGAACCAATTCATCATAATATTCTGAATTTAACATACAAAATTGTGTCACCCCTTGAAACTGAATATGGTTATGGAAGTGTAACCCTAATGTGACGAAGAAGGGGAAATTCAATACTTTTGGGCTTAAAATTTTCTGTCTGTTAAATGAGTTATTATATTGTATCATTTGCTTATGTGTGTTGAACCAACGTGTAAGATTTAAGACATTCTCAACCTCGATTTGCTGTGGAGGATCCCCATGATCAAAAGAAACACCTTTTCTTTTTATGCCCTTGTCACTTCGATGTCTTTTTTATGATGAAGCCATGCCTACAGATATAATTAAAATGATAATTGTGAATGGAAAGCAAAATATAATACATACTACAATTAATGATAAGTTTTAAATAACTAATTTATAACATAAAATGCAGTTAAAGTAGATGATATAAATAAGAAAGAAATTGTTCAATACACATTTACATTTATACAAACCACTAAAATAGTTCTCAATCAAATTACAAACAAATTAACCTTGATTTCTTGACATCATACTAATTAATTTATTTATACGACGAGAATTTGACATCCCAAATAGGCGTTTTATGTGCGATGGATGCACACACAAGAAGTCGTAACACTAGTTTATTACGTCTGTAGACCCCAAATCTTGTCTGGCCTCATAATAAAGACCAGAAGACCTCCTTTTTGAAGATGGATGAAGCCTAAGAAGCCACTAGGAGAGACTATTAGGCCCCATACTAGGATAAGAGGGATTTTTGGCATAAAAATAAGGATTTTCACCTTTTAGGGTCGAGACCGCCGTCTCGGATTCGAGACCGCCATCTCGCCTTGCGAAGGTGGCGAGACCGCCGTCTCGTTTGGCAAGACGGTTGTCTCGCCATTCCTACAAGGCGAGATGGCAGTCTCGACCTTGTCAGACGAGACGACCCGTCTCGACCTGACAGGCGCGAATCCCTATAAATAGGAGCCTCATTCCCCTCATTTCCCACAGTTCTTCCTTTCTCTCTCTAGACTTTTCTTCAATTTCTCTCTCTAGACCCCCTCCGAAGCATTTCCGGAGTTTCTGAGAGTTTTCTAGAGCGTTTTCGGCATTGTAACGAGCGAAGGGCTGCCAAAAAGCACCCTAATACTCAAAGAATTAATAGAAAAGCTTGCCTCGGAGGTTTCTACTTTCTCTCTCTATCTTTTACTGTCTTATTTTAAAATTACGCAATAGACATTAGGGCTATGTAGTCACAGTTTAAAATTCCGCAAAATAAAAGGGTAAAAGCGTATTTTCACGGGTTATTTATTTAAAGTAGCTGGCCTATCATAGGAAACCCGAAATGGGCATCGTAAAGGAACTAACACTTCCTTTACACGTAACTAACTCCCTTACCCAACTCTGGTTCTAATGACCAAAGTTGGTTTTTCGAAAACCAACGCCTTTTCACTCTTTTTCCGATGTTTCTGGTAAAAATATCGGTGGCGACTCCAGATGAACCCTTCAAAAATTAGCTCTTAGGTTAGTCCGGTTATCGGACAACCCAAGAGCGTCCTTTCGAAAACATCGCCTCTAGGTTCAGCCCGGTTTTCGGACAACCTAAAGGCATTGTAACCACACCAATGAAAACGCGAAAATAGGAAAGTCGAAACCATCGCGTCGCTCCGACCGCCTTGTTTTGACGGCAGCGACAACGTCTTCATCACCAATTCCCATGTTAACTACTAACTATTAGATGTCGGTCTCAGAATGGTAAAAGTTTGCATTCCTGCACAACAATTCATTCCTATTTTCAGTTGTCATCACTTGTCTTTCCGCATACGTGACCAATCTATCAGAAATATCGTTACTTCTGTCACTTGCTTCAATAACAATGTTCAGTTTGGTATTTAAATTTTTAAACTGGGTCTCCACCAAACATGTCATCAAGGCCTTTCTTTTTGAGCCCCCAGGAAGAAGACGTACCACCGGATAAGATAGATGGTGTTTGACAATGTAAATCCACATATGGGGGGGAAACGAGGAACATCTTCTGTCAAGCCACGAAATATAGACTCCTCTAGATATATTATATATCATCATTCAAATCCATAGTGAATGATTATCGTTGGATGCATTGGCGGATTTGACGTATCATTTGTTGAATTATTGGCGATCGTACCAAAATTATCAATCGCAGTATAGTATTTCGATTAAATAAAAGTCGATCCCACGAGGAACGGTTTCAATGGAAATTCTCAATTATGCTTACTAGGTAGATTAAAACAGATTGAGTTTTGCAAATAAGAGTTGAATTGAAATTAAATGACAAAGAACTGTAAATTGTTGAGAAAATATCAATTAAAGGTACTTAGGATTGACTTCCTTCCTTATCCTTCTTTTGTAATGAATATGTCAATTAAGAACGTCAATTAACCTAACAATGTTGATGCCACCTACTCAAATCATCCATGTTGATTCCTCACACATGAAATTCATAAGAAAACCTAATAAATGTTGATTCCTCACACAATTAACAGATTTTCCAGCATTAGGGTTAGGGTGTTAAGCAATTGATACATTCATTCCATTTCTGGCAATTAACGTAACAAATATTCTTACCGTGATCTAGGGTTCAAGATATATTTTCCAATCATACCTCAAACAATCAAGAATAAATAATTCCAAAGCATAAAGGATAAGAATAACAACATCAAAGCATAGATTAAGATCTCAAAATATCACCATGATACAAAAGAGTTCAAAGGAAGTGCACCGAATCCTAAGAGAATGAAGTTAGTCACTCATGTTGGCCATTACAATGCTCCAATTGATAAAGAAGTGAAGAATTGATGAAGATTGGAAAAAACCCTAACAGTAGTCGTGTCTCCTCCTCTCCAAGACTGCTTACTTTTCTCAAAACACAACTTATCTTTTTATAAGAGAATTTGGATCGGGCCTCGCATCATTCATTCGCTTAAGCGCTCTTCTTTCTTTCAATTTTACTCCAATTATGCTGACAATT